ACCCACAAGATGTCAAGTTAACTACTCGTTATTTCTTACAAAAATAGGATATCCAGGATGTGGTAACTGTCTTTTTTTTTTTTTTTTTTATAAACAAAAGACTGATTGTATAACAGAGGATTCAACAAGGAAAACATGCGGAATTATAATTGTTATGTATACGCATACTTCTATAGTTTTAATGAGAGAGCTGTGTATATGTTCTAATAAAATCAATTTGCTATTTTGTCTCTGGGATGGCTAATACACAAATTATCTGTTCTATTAAACTGGACACTCAGAGAGTCCTTTGCTAACTGTGCCCACCCTGGTTTAACCACTTGCCCTCCTTAGGATTCCCCCCCCCCCCCCCCCAGGCCATTTTTTGTGTTATGGCGCTGAGTTACTTTATTTGACAATTGCGCGGTCATTGAACGCTTCATCCAAATGAAATTTACATCCCATGAATTGAGCTTTCTTTTGGTGGTATTTGATCGCCTGTGCGGTTTTTATTTTTTTTGCGCTATGAGATAACAAAAAAAAAGACCGACAATTTTGGGGAAAATAGCAATATATTTAACTTTTTGCTATTAAACATGCCCAGAAAAAAAATTGAAAAAAATAATCCAATTTAATCGAAAATTTAGGGCAAAATTTATTCTGCGACATGTCTTTGCTGAAAAAAAAAATCCCGAGACATGAAAATTAATTGGTTTACATGGAAGTTATAGTGTTTACAAATGGCAGTATATAAACTGGGATTTTTTTGTAATTTTCTATTTTTACTAGTAATGGCGGCAATCAGCAACTTATAGCGGGGGACAGCGGAGGACATTCTGACACTGGGCGGAACTGACTTGGTGTCACTGACATCCCCAGTGAGACCAATACAGTGATCAGTGCTAAAAAAAAAAAGCACTGACACTGTACTAATGGCACCGGGCAGGAAGGGGTTAACATGAGGGGCAGGGAGTGTTTTACTGGGGGGGCAGGATGTGTGTGTTTCACTGTAATCACACTGCTCTGGATGCTGTGCTGTGCACAGCCATCCAGAGTAGTGTGCCCGAGCTGACAGGGAGGAGGACTGTTAGTAAACAAAACAGTCCTCGTCCCCATCAGAGATCATCAGAAATCACCAGGCGCCAGCGAGTAATTACCGGCCAGGACCCAGCGATTGACAGCCGCGGCTGGTGACGCAGGTTAGGCGTGCCTGCCACCTACCTGGAAATGCAAAATTACACATATATATATATATATATATATATATATATATATATATATATGTGTGTGTGTGTGTGTGTGTGTGTGTGTGTGTGTGTGTATGTGTAATTTTGCATTTCCAGGTAGGTGGCACGCACGCCTAACCTGCGTCACCAGCCGCGGCTGTCATGTATGTATATATACATATATATATATACACACACATGGGTTTGTGCAACAACCCTGCTGCCCTGTAGCAGTATTTCTGCTATAGGGTGGTGGGGATATGATTAAAGCCTAAGTCCACCTAAAACAAACAAAGAAAAAAAAACATTCAGCACAAGGGACATTACTTACATGAGGTGTGTCCCTTGTGCTGCTGTGTCCTCCTTTTGCTGAAATCTTACTCCTCCAATGCCCATCTCCCGACCCCTAATCTTCCAGTGTGGCATGGGTTTTTAGAATTAAGGGGCTGTGACAGGCTGTCATCAAGAGTGCCTGACTGCTTTTCCATTCTTAGAAACCATCACTACAGCTTCTATGAATAAAACACCATCTATGAAAGGATGACCTGCGCATGAACAATAGGTCTGCCTCCTCCATTCATAAATCTTGTTTGATTCTCCTACGAAAGGAAGTAGAGCTACAAACCATCAGATGCTGGGATCCTAGGTCTATAATAGACGCTACTGGCTACGTTTATACAGACAAGTACTGTAATGTTATTGCCATGGTTATATTTTGATTTTTGACAATGGTGCACATTTAGGAGATATTCATTTTACTTACGGGTAAGCTTTATTGTAAGCTTACCTGCAGGTAAAAATTAAAAAAAAAGAGTTTACTACCACTTTAAACACAAACTGAGCTGTTAAAAGCACAATTATGGACCATGTAGTATTAAATTCCAGCTACTTACATGCACTATATCTTCCAAACTGCTGAAAATATACTTCCTGGCTTCCTTAGACTTCATCCCTGTCTCTGTTTCATGCTCTTCCAAGGTCTATTGAGGAGGAAATAAAAAAAAAAATCACTGGACAGAACCAAAATACAAAACTTTATAGGGAGGCAAGACACAACCAGGCACGCTGCCACACGCTACAATCATCCTTTTAACAAATGAATGGAAAAAAGGTCTAAACGTAACATCTATCATGATAATAATGGGTATTGCCATGTGCACGTGGATTTACACTAGTGCCAATTTAGACAGAAGACAATAAACTTCCAGTATATTTCAGGGAAGAAGCACCAAAAGGAGGACAGGGAGGAGAAAAAAAAATTCATAAAGACAGAAAGCATGGTGAGAAATGCAACCAGTACCCCAGCCCTGAAAGACAATCCTACTCACCAGCAAGCCACCATGCTGCACCAGACCAGATTCTACTGCCGTTATTTACCAAAAAACTGCCTATGCATATAAGGGGTGACTTTTAAAAACAAACTGCATCTTTGTCTAAAGTTGAAAAACGCTCTTGTTACAGGTGTAGGACATTTACATATTTCATGATGGCTGACTAGAAAACTCCCAGGACTTTGTTAGAACATTGCTAGGAGAGGCCCAGCTCTCAGTTCTCATGCACAATGGGCATTTTTGAAGCTACTGCTAGGGGCGGCAGGTGTTTTTTTTTTTCCTGCCTCCACACTCTCCTGCATGTTATCCTATGTGACCATGCACACACAAGCTTTTAGCAGCATTTCCTAGCAGAAAAAAAAACCCTCACTGCCAGGGAGTCCTGAAGCAAGGCCATTTTGGCTGAAAAAACGATTGACGCACTTAGACGCATTAAGCGCTTGTCCAGAATAAATTATATATTCTGGGCAATGAACTTGATGCCCAAATGCTTGACGCGTGTAAACGCCGTACACACTTTTACAAGCGTCAGGCTTTTTTTTTTTTTTTTTTGCCAAAACGCTGCTGGCTTTAAAGGGAGTTAAAAATAAACATCAGTGTGCATTAGGCCTTACTGCCCATCTCTATCATCACGAGTGAAGTCTCAAACAATGAGCTCAGGGCTGCTGTATCAGAGGAGAGAAAGTGCACGTGAGGCGGTTTGAATCAGAAAATTGCTCACTGATGGTGGAGGTGAACAGTAATGACTAGGCCACTCTTACAAACGTCCAAGCAACGTCCTGTGAGTTTTCCAGTCAAACTTTATGAGGTATATAAACAGAATCCACCTATAACAAGTGCAATATTCAACTCCGGTCAGATATATACAGTTTGTTTTCATCTACAGACAGGCATAGGCAGTTCAGAGTAAAAGTGAACTATGCATTTAAAAAAAAAAAAAAAAAAAAAAAAAAAAAAAAAAAAAAAAAGACCCTGTCACCAACTTAGGGCAGCACAGTGGCTAAATGGTTAGCACTTCTGCCTGGCAGTACTAGGGTTATTGGTTTGAAAACCCAGCCATGGCACCACCTGCCTGGAGTTTGCATGTTCTCCCTGTGCCTCCATGGGTTTCCTCTGAGTACTCCGGTTTCCTCCCACACTCCAAAGACATGCTGGTAGGTTAATTGGCTCCTGTCTAAATTGGCCCTAGTATGTGTATGTATGAATGTGAGTTAGGGACCTTAGATTGTACGCCCCTTGAGGGTTAGGGACTGATGTGAATGTGCAATATATATGTAAAGCGCTGCGTAAATTGACAGCGCTATATAAGTACCTGAAATAAATAAATAAAAATTTAAAAAAAAAATCAGAAAAAGCACAGAAAAATCAAGTTTAAATGTTTAATTGCAGTGCTTTTCTTTTTTGTAAATTATTTTTTAGTCATTTAGAATGTGCCTTTGAACTTGTTTAAATTTTACTACTCCAAAACAGAAACTTAAATTGGATTATGATAAACTTTCGAGTATCGTTAATAATAATACCTCTAAATTTGAGGTTACATGGGAATCACGGATTAGGTATATTTCTATTATCTAATGAACGTATTATGGCTGTCCCTCTTCTCTTTTTTCTTTCCTTCCTCCTTTCTTTCTTCTTTTTTGTTTTTTGTTGTATTCTTTACGCTCTCCTCTGATTTTTCTGTTCAATTTTTTCGGCCTCCTTATTTTGTCAGATGACTAACTGAAACTGCCCAGGTTTACAGACCGATGGAATATGTTCTACCCTACTGGGGTTGTGTTCTCTTGTTACAACATCATTGGTTGATGCATTCTTATGTGCCTATATACTCTATGAATCTGTTTGTCTGCCACAACTCACCATGTAGGTGGGCTATGTTTCTTATATTTCTGTATACTCTTTCTACAGTTTTTCAATAAAAATATTGAAATATAAATTTTACTACTCCAGAAAATTAAATTTCCTAGCTCAGGTGCTTTCCTCCTTGTAGGCCATAGCACCCCGTAGCACCCCCTCTTCTAGGTCTGTTTAATTACTTTTTGTGCTGGTCCAGCTCTTCTGCCCCTCCCTGTATAACTTTATGTTGTTATGAGGAACGTGAATACTATGAAGTTTCACTTGAGTGACATCCAAAATGGCAGTACCCCACAGCAGTCTCAAAGCATTTGGATGTCTACACAAAGGAGGATTATACATGGAATTAACATGCAAAAATACATTAAAACACATGTAATCTTATGAGATTTTTGCTGAATATATGGTCTGATGACAGTCTCTTTAAGCAACTGTATGCAATCAATGACAGTATTAAAAGATCCCTTTCACCAGACTACATACATGCTACTTACTTTTAATCTCCAGCCGGGGTATTGAGCATCTGGTTCACGACAGAAGAATCTGGATGTTTTGTACCCACATTTAGTAGGTGTTCTCCTGGTACCCCTTGAGTTTGGGAAATGTATCGGATCTAGGCAAGAAAATAAAGATCACATATTTACTGTTATAGGATTGTTACCAGTTTATTGCTTTAGGGTTTATTGCTGGAAATTACTGCAAATAACTTATTACTAGATGTCACCATGACTATTTAGGTATCAGCGTACTTCATATCAATCTTTCCTCCTGTTGACAATTAGGGTTTAGTGCTGGAAATTACTGCAATTTGGACCAAAAGGAAACATTTAGGTCTGCTTTGAATGTTCACGGAGGACGCGTAAGAATATTACAATGAGCGTAAACATATCTGTCTCCTGTAACAAGGAGATCCAGTAACACTACAGGTCCAGGTCACACGACCTTATGCTCAGCAACCATGAACTCAGGCGCTGACATCAGCCATTTTCAATAAAGTAAATAAAGGCTTTGTTGACTCTGGCACCCACAATGCACAGCAGTTGAAGGCCACTTGACTTAATGTTGGGTTCAGAACACAACTTGGAAGTGCAGCAATTTTTGGTACTGGACAGCTAAAGCTGGGTACACACATCGTCTGAATATCAGCCGGTTCAGCACCATTTGAACCATGTGTACAGCATCTAAGGAGTTCCCCTGTCAGAACACAAAGGCACAGCTGGAGAGATCGCTGTACTAACATTGCATAGTTAGTACAGCGATCTTTCAGGTTTTTTGCCATTCAGCCCACTGGGCGGCAGCTGCAAGATCAGGAACATATTACATGTTCCACCCCAAGAATGGGTGGAACATGTAACATGTTCCCAAAGGTGAACTTATCCTTTAAACTATTCTAACTGTGCAAGTTTACTAATATAAAAAGTATATCTTCCCCTATATTTAACTCTGCCCAAGAATGACTATTCACCTTAACTCAGAGGTTACCCCAAGTACTGCTGCACTATCAACTGCTTGACCCTACACACTGGGGTTTATTTACTAAAGATGGAAAGTGCAAAATCAGGTCCACTTCTGTAAAAACCAATCAGCTTCCAGGTTTGCTTCCAGGTTTTATTGCCAACGCTTAACTGAACAAGCTGAGGTTAGAAGCCAATTGGCTACCATGCACAGCTGCACCAGATTCTGAGGGAACCAGCTTTAGTAAATCTCCCCCACTGTCTACTCACTGTCTACTACTACTAAACACTTCAGACTTCTGCCTCTCAATGAATGAAAAGGTAAAATCTGTGCATTTACAATAATTTAAGACTTAATATTTAGAATTGTAAGCATAAATCCAAGCCTGACTAGCTCTCTAACAAAATATAAGTTGCTGCTTTAAAATTATCAGGTGCAGAAAATAATGAAACCAATTAACTCATTTATTTTGAAAGACGAAATAGGAAAGAGTGAACCTAAAGTAAATGGTTTGGTGGTTTTTCGAAGCACGTCTCACTCAACAATAATCATATGATGAAGCGCTTTGTTGTGTGAAACGCGTCAACATCTTCTGTATCTTGTGCTGCATGTATGCTGACATTGTTGGAATAAAATGTTTGTTATTAGATAGCATCCCGCTGTGGTGTGCGGTCATCCTTCTGTTTCTTCTATCCTACAAATGTGTCTGGGCTGAAGCAGTTTTGTAAAGAGCAATGGTCAAAAAATCCTCCTAACATTATGCAGGTCTGATTCAGAGCTACTGAAAGCACTCACTTAAAGTCATTGCTGCCAATGGAAGTTTGACCAGCTATTAAATTCAAGGGTTCAAATAGATACAGAGCTATGAAAATCAGAAAAGAATGATCAAAAGACCTGCGCAACAAGGTAACAGAACTATAAAAAGATGGAAAAGGATATAAAAAGATATTCAAAGCCTTGAATATGCCAGACAGTACTGTTCATGCACTTACTAAGAAGTGGAAAATTCAGGGATCTCTTGATGCCAAGCCAAGTACAGGTAAACCAAGAGAAATCGCAGCCATGGCTGCCAGAAAAATTGTTCGGGATACAAAGAAAATCCCACAGGTAACCTCAAGAGAAATACAGGCTGTTCCGGAAATAAGTGGTGTAGTTGTTGTGCAGGAACACAATACGATACTTGAACCAAAATGAGGTGCATGGTCACGTTGCCAGAAAGAAGTGTTTACTGCGACCATGCCACAAAAAAGCCAGGTGAGGCATGTCAAGGTGTTGGGCATATTGTAACCGGGCTTTCTGTGCTTTCTGTATCAAGGTCAAACTTTTGATCACAGCCATTTGGGCGATTTCTTCTGTTATCATTATGATTTAAAAAGGAGCCAAACAACTATGTGATAACAAATGGCTTAATATGATCACTATCCCTAAATACAAATTAAAACGAAAGACTGTGTTTTGGCATTATATATATATATATATATACATACATACACACACATACATATATATATATATATATATATATATATATATATATATATACACACACATACATACACACACAGCTGCAAATATCAGTAAAAGGAAGTGAGAGGTTTGTCTGTAATCACAATCCGGAAATGTATTACAAGCACACGACTTCTGCTTTTCAAAACAAGGCGCAGTTATTGTATGCTGTGCTTCTTATGGGCTGTGGGGACTATGTTACAGAAGTGACCTCACCATAACATCATTAAAATAACAGGTTCTTCTGTTCTTATGAAGTCTAGTTCCTGTTCATTAATGCCTTTGCAAAGTTTAGAAATGAATGTGGTTATATCGTCAAATAGTTTTGCATGATCTGTGTTTGCAAACGCGTGACAAAACCATCATGGTTATGATTATAAAAAATGTTACAAAACAAATAATCCATTGTTATTTTAGAGGATCTGCAACCATTTGTTTGAAACGATTCCATTACTTTACAGCATTCCATGGATCTGGCAGAAATCCACCAAAGGGATCTAAATTTCTGTTCCTATTTGTGACCACTCCTCTTCAGCTCCTGTGATGCTTTTTTTTTTCCTGTTCCAGATAAGTAATGCAGTCTGATGAAATGATCAGAAGATAGGGCGGGCACAGACACAACGAGTTCCAGCATGTGATACCCTGGACTGCAAAGCAACTGCTCTACCATTCCAAGGGGAAGAGTAACCATGTCCATGCTTTTAAATAGGACTTCTTTAAGGGAAATCAGCTGTTATGACAGCTGAAGATCCAGTTCATGGCTGAAGTATGCTATTGTCTGGAGTTGTGAAAGTGGTGCTAGTCTTGAGGCAGGGAATACTTCTGCAGCACCACCCAAGACTGATGTGCCTGCCTGGGAATTTGATTTTTGGGAGTCTTCAACCACTTGAGCTCTGAAAGATTTTATCCTCTTCATGACCAGGCCATTTTTTGCTATTCAGCACTCTGCTTCTTTAACCACCTCATTACCGGGCCAATTCTGACACTTCTCTCATACAGCAGGTAAAATAAGTATTGAACACGTCACCATTTTTCTATGTAAATATATTTCTAAACATGAAATGTTCACCACATGTCGATAACAACCCATGCAATCCATACATACAAATAAACCAAGACAAAAAAGTTCAGAAATTAGGTTGTGTGTAATAAAATGGAATGACACAGAGAAAAAGTATTGAACACATGAAGAAAGGGAGGTACAAAAAGGCAAAAAAGCCAAGACGCCAGCTGAAATCTATCAGTAATTAGAAAGCAATCCTGCCCCTTGTCAGTGCAATTTATATCAGCTGCTTCAGTCTCAACAGATGGCCAATAAAAAGGTGTCTCATTACCAAGGTGTCACATAAGAAACATCTCACGATGGGTAAATGCCAAGAGCTCTATCAAGACCTTCGCAACCTTATTGTTGAAAAACATACTGATGGCATACAGAAGGATTTCTAAACTTCTCAATGTTCCAGTGAGAACTGATGGGGCCATAATCCGGAAGTGGAAAGAAGATCATTTCATCATAAACTAGCCACGACCAGGTGCTCCTCGCATGATTTCTGACAGAGGAGTTAAAAGAATCAGAAGAGTTGTCCAAGAGCCAAGGGCCACTTGTGGAGAGCTTCAGAAAGACCTAGAATTAGAAGGTACAATTGTTTCAAAGAAAACAATATGTAATGAACTCAATCGCCATGGCCACTATGCACGTTCATCATGCAAGACTCCACTGGAGAAGAAAAAGCATGTTGAAGCTCTTTTAAAGTTTGCTGTACAACATTTAGACAAGCCTGTGAATTACTGGGAGAATATAGTCTGCTCAGATGAGACCAAAATTGAACTCTTTGGATGCCATAGTACACACCATGTTTGGAGGTGAAATGGAACTGCACATCACCCCAAAACACCATACCAACAGTGAAGTCTGGAGGTGAGAAAATCATGGTGTGGGGCTGTTTTTCAGCATATGGTACAGGTAAACTTCAAATCATTGAAGCAAGAATGAATGGAAAAATGTACCAGGACATTCTTGATAAAAATCTGCTGCCATCTACCAGGATGATGAAGATTAACCATTTGACGCCCGGCCTATGGCCGAATGGTGTCCGGAAAAATGTACTAGCTTTCCGGGAGGCCACCATATAGCGTCCTCCCGCACATGCGCAGTTTGCGCGCTTGCAGAGCCGCGCAGCGTCGCGATCTGTCACCGGCCGTGTACCTCGGACACGGCCGATGACAGATCTGAGTACCTGAGTACTGATCACTTCCCCAAAGTAGTACAATGTTACTATGGTAACATTGTACTACTTTGGACATAGTGAAATGTGAAAAAAAAAAATCTTAAAAAAAGAAAAAAAATGTACTAAAAAATTTAAAATAATAAAAAAAAATATATATATATATATATATTATATTATATATATTTTTTTTTTTTTTTTTTTTTTTTTTTCACACTGTCACCAGTCAGTGTCCCTGATCACCGCCATGCCAGTTATATGATGACGCTGTACTGCACTGGTGACAATATGTAAAAAAAAAAAAAATTTAATTTTTTTTATTTTTTTCATTTTCCGAAAAATTAGGACAAAAAAAAAATACAACTTCAAAAAACTCACTATGCCTCTTCTGAAGTACGTCGGACTGTCTACTTTGCAAAAAGGGGTC